AGTCGTGCATGCCGTAGTCGTTAGACCATTGACCTCGCATCCCTACAAAGCCGGGACGGAGCACGCCGGGTTCTCACCGGACCAGGCTCTCACATCACCAAGCGCGAAGCGCCGTGAGGTACTCGGCAAGTCGAACGAAGGGTGCGCTGCATCCTGCTAAGCGTGTTCGGCATTTTGTGGTTACTTCCTTGCGCACCGATGACAGCTGCGTATGACATAATTTATTTTCTGGTGCTTTCACTTCCAAAGACAGTTGTAAGCACTGTGAGACTGCCTCGAGGATGCTTTTGTCATTTAAACACAACGTGGTGTGATCATTCCCCTTGCGTGGAGTGAGGTTTCTCGACCCCGCACAACATGATCTACTCGACCACCGTTATGGTTACCGCAAAAAAAAGAGGTAAAAAAGAAAACAAACGGTAGGGGGGGCTAACACGCGGAGTTCGGTCGGAGTTTCATGAGATCTCGAAACCTTTCGTTCCGGCTAAAATAGGCAGCAGTATCATGTCCTGGAACCGCGAACTCGATTAGGTTGCACGGACCACAGCATCGATTACGCAACGACAAGCTTTAAACCTACCAGTGTACTGTAGACTCGCATGGACGGGCGCATGGAGAAGCGCCGCAAAACGCCACCGCCACCCAATGTCTCGGAGGGATTCGGCCAACCGATGAGATAAGCGCACAATGCTGGTATGTACACGCATCTTTCGGTTACCGGCGGGTCGTACACTTCTTCACACTCCAGCTGTGTTCTTCATCCCTCCCTCCCTCCCTCTCGTTGCCTACCGGTTTGCCTGCCTGCCTGCCTCTGCCTCTCTGTCTGTCTGTCTGTCTGTCTGCCTGCCTGCCTGTCTGCCTGCCTGCCTGCCTGTCTGCCTGCCTGCCTGTCTCTCTCTCCCTCTCTCGCACTCTCCATTGATGACCTTGCGTCGTTTTCCGACGAGCACGGAGTGACCCGGGGTGGTGCTAAGGATGCTGCTCGCACGAAAAGATTACCCGCCGCGAGGAGCAACCGTCGCCTTCACCCGCCAGAATCGAGCATGTGATACTAATCACTGCATCAGTCCGTTGGATTGAATCTTATACCTCTCCTGTCCTGGATCACTCTGCTCACATATCTGTTGCGGTGACTCCAACCTCGGATGTATACGCTAGTCCCGCTGCTGGTGTCTGTGTGTTTGCGATGCGAGTGAACGAGAAGATTCGGTACTGCCGCTGGGGTACTTACAAGATATACTGCAGGACGTTGATGCGACGGAGGAGAATTTCGTCTCCACTTCAAATAATCTACTGCATGCCTACCCGCTCACAGGTTCGCGGTAGGGGAGCTTGCTCTTCTAGCAGACCAAGGCCGCGTATCCAAATCGGTTCTAGGTGGCCCGTGCAGCAGTAGCACAATGGTAGTGGGCGGCGATGGCCTACTGCAACCGCTGCTGTTGCTTTTGTGTCAGCAGCATGGTATCGTGACTCATGTTCTCGCTGCGGTGGAGTATCATGTGTCGCGTGACCGAAAACAAATGTAGGAGAGAATAAACACGTACAAACAGTCTACCCTCCCCTACTGCACGCCTAGCCCACACGCAGTGCAAAACCGCGTCACGGCCCTCTATCCTATGCTCACCGGCTCCCGCAGCAGTCACGGCGGCAAACGTGCCGACGTTCTTGATCATCTCACCCCGAGTCAACCCTCCGCCGCTATCCGAATCAGAGAGAGACATTCTCAAGCCCATGCCGTCACCGCAACCAGACCTGGCCCCTGCTGGCAACACGAGCCCGTTTGAGAGGTTCAAACATAGCAGGAACGTCGCCGCCGCGGTCAAGGCAAGCATTTTTCGGAGAGGTTGGTGTTCAGCGGGCACAAGCGGTGGCGGAAGAGGCAACGGTCGACGCAGACAAACTACACAGGTAGGGCAAACTTTTTCGGCGGATTCCACAGAACCCCTCTGGTCAACTCGGGTCGGTTGTCTACATTGTGCGGTGCCGTCTTCAGCGTCGAGGAGATCCTAGCCAGGTGAGGCCGAGTCTAGCGTGACGCCAACGTTAGCCATAGGAACTAACGGGTGGTTGTGCCTACTGGGATGATGATGCGATGCCTTTCCAAACCCGTGTGATGTATGTCTTCTCCCAACATGAACACGCATACACATCGGGGTTGTGTGTGAAGGTCGTTGGTTGCTGTTGAGCAGAGGATTGATTCAACACGCCTTGAGGGCTCGTTTCGCGCTCAGAATCGGCAGGAGTCGGAGGCACAGGTGTAGCGAGGCTTGCCGTCGGATCGGGCACCCCTCAGTCTCCGTTGCCTCGCGTGTATTCGTGAACTTTTGCTCGCGAGTCGAAATGAAAATCGTGTGTTGAGGATGAGCCGCACAATTCGGATCGCATGAGCCTGCGGTATGTACCGCGTATTGTTCCGCATGGGTGATCCTCATGTTGGTGCCTTCCCTGGCAAAGTGGGTTAAGCCTTGGTCCGAAAGACCTTCGGCCCTTCATCCATCCCATCTCGCTGAAGCTGAGCAAGCAGTCAGTAGAGGATGCACGGCGACTTTCCGCACCCTCGCCGACGGACGTTGTCCCCGTTTCACAGCAGTAGTCTCAGGGTTGCCGCGTGTACACCACTTCTTTTATGTGCTGGTTGAACAGCCGAGCCTCCACATGTTGCTGTAACCGAAGAGTTGGAGCGCTGCTGCTGTGCTGCTGTGTGGCTGCTACATTGTACCGGTTCTGAGCCCCCCCCCAATAAAATCTGGGCAAGCTGGTCCAACAAGATTCTTGTTGATGAGCATCTGGTTAGATAAGCATATGGTTTACTAGCAGTATTAATAGTCGCGTCGCTGCCCGTTGCACGCCCAAGACAACCCCCTGTTCTACGTACAAGGATGGTAGCAACGGGTGGCAAAGGCTGCAGCAGTAGCATGGTATCATACCAGTATGTGTACGACCATGTCGTTTTCGTCCCATAGACTATGGGGCGCTAGCCTTCTGCACCTTTCGGTATACCTATGCTATGATGAACCGGCCAGAGTCATACTTTGTTGTCATTGTTTTTGTTTATTTTGTTGTGGTTCCTCTCGAGACGTGCACTACACGTCTTAGTGTATGTAGAGTACTACACGTTTCAGTGTATATTTTTCGTACAACTACAACCATCCAGGGTCGCACAGAGTAAAACTAGTAAAGCAAACATTTCTCGTTTTTTTTTCCAACTTTCCCCTTCGGCTCGATTTTTTTATCGCCATGTACAAGGGTTCACCCGGTACGCCCCTCTTATTGTTTGCTCACACAAATTGCACGCGGTTCTATACCTCTAGATCTTGTTCGTGTTTCACTTAAACTTGCCCTTCAGAAGTGCAGCAACTGAACCCCGCTGAGGTTTTCCTCGTGCAATACTCGGGGATTCGTCGCCGTCTTCCGGCCTACACGTAGGCTGCCTTGCAGCTCAACCAAGCGAATGGGCGGAATCCCTCGGTATCTTCAATGCATGCGTGGCCTGCCACACTGCCGTTAATGCCATTCCCTCCCCCGTGTGCGTGCGTTTCCGCCCCTCTTGTCTCTGCTGGTGATGCTGCCACCACCGCCCCCAAGAACAGCAGAAGTGTGTTCGTTCGTGGTGATTGATAACGCGAAGAGACACAGAGAAAAACGATGAGGGCTTCGTGCGTGCTCGCCGCGGGACTGTGCGGGATAGCCGCTACGGAGGCATTCGTGTTTAACCCCGCTGGTGAGTACTTCCGGAAAAAGTGTGGGTTGATTCGTCAGTTTTTCTTTTTTCGTACGAAGCGACGACGAATCCGTCTCTGTTATCCGCAACGGATAGTTCAGGATATGCCGCTATTGTTTGTCATTTTTTGTTTTTTCTTGCACAACACAACGAACCCATGTCTGTTATCCCTAACGAAGAGGTCAGGATTGTCCCGTTGTTGTCCAGCAGTTGGCGTGAGGTCTACTGTAGGTTGAGGTATTAGAGCATGCTTTTCTTACAATCCAGCGAACGCGTGTCTGCTATCCGCAGAAAAGAGTCGAGGATACCGTTTTTTGCGTAGAATCGCAGCGGTTGGTGTGAGGTCTGGGGTGATTTGCCACGAATTTTTTCTTCCTGCAACACGACGAGCCCATGCCTATACTCCGCTGAAAAAGAGTCCAGGATACCGTTATTGCCCAGAATTGCGGCAGAGGTCACGGTGCTTTTCACACACCAATCTTGGCCCGGATTCGGCAGGATACCATCCTCTAGCTTGGGTGATTTGCTTTAGGCGGTGCGTTCGTTTTGGCTTTGTCCGCGCACCGCTCTTGATGCGAGATGAGCCCTTTGGCCGCGCCCCTGATTCGAGACACCACGCACATTGGAGCGCTTTGAAGGAAGGGGGGTGCGAACACCTGGATTGATTGACAAGCCACATGGTTGTCGTTTCTCGTGAGATGAGACAGCAGAGCGGCAAGCTTACCCAATCAGGTGGTCCGAGGCGCGTAGCCGCGCGACTCACGATAGCCGACGCGACTATCGAGCACCGCAGAGACCATTGGCGGAGGAAGAGGGAAGAGAGAGAGAGAGAGAGAGAGAGAGAGAGAGAGAGAGAGAGAGAGAGANGATAGCGTGCTATATACGATCCGATGTGAGCAAAAATAAAATAACAACACCTAACACCGCTAAACGATATAATTCCCCCGTCTTTTCGGCGCGGTATTTTTTGTGGCCGCCAACGCGTGTCTTCCTCTTCACTTCTGTAGCTGCTTCGGTGGGTTGCCGGCCAGCTTCCCGAAGGCAGCAGATGCAGGAGGTTGCAGCGGCTGCCGATGTCGGCGGTGGCGAGACGGACGGTAAACAACGGACTTGGGACATGCACCGCTGGCCTGACCGGAGTAAGGTACGTTATTCCGACTGATGTCGACACCGGTGCCCCCTAACCATGCC